ACTTCCTGTCAGGCCGATCAATGACCCAGCTTTTGACAGACATGGAGAATCTGAAATGCAGCAAAATTGCTAGTTTCATGTACAATCATTGGAGCTCGAGGAGGCTGAATATCATACTGCTTGTGTTATATTATGCTGTTTCAACAATCACAAAGTGAGAACCGGGCTCCTTCTCTGACTAACTATATTGCCGTGAAAGATGCTAGGTGAACTGTGGGAGATAACAGCTATTTGCCCTGCTGTGTGAGGGTCAAGAAATCGTGTATATTTGTGTAGTTTATAGTGTGTATCTTTGCTAAAAAATGACATAGAGTTGTGGCAAAGTGTTGCTTGCAGTAATGTGACAATCAGAAAATATTCCCAGTTCTAAAGTGATGTAGCTAATTTCTTTCTTGCTTTCTTTTTTATTGGTATGTGACTTTGAAAGCCAATGCCCCACTGTATTGTTTAGTGTTTATTCAATTCCTGCCTTGCCAGAGTGAATGCATTTATAAAATCTTGTAATTTCCATATAATTTTAAGCAGCTCCACATGTTCTCTGCAGAAACTGTTTTTTGTGAGTGGTTGTGGTTTTTTTGTTGAAATTACAAAATTCTGAGTGGGGGAAAAACAAAAACAAAAAAACCATCCATCTTAAATTGCACTCTACTCTGAGACCTTGTTTATGCCTTTATCTAGTTATGTCTAAATATCTCTAATTTCTTTTTGACAGATGACAGATGAGTCCACATTTTGAGATATACTTCCCAGATTCTCAAAAAGCACCAAACCAATTAGAATCACTGTGGTAAAAAAGTATTAAAGTTGTCTGCCATAACACTGCAGGTACACCCTGCCGGTAAAACTTAGGCCCCTGAAGGTTCTTATCTATATCAGATGTTACCATGTCGTCATGTTTCCTAGCAACTACTACCAATGGGCTTAAAAGACTTTTTTCAGCATTTATGCACCTGTAACACCTATAAGCATCACATTGTTTTATTTCACACCGATAATAATAATAATAATAATAATAATAATAATAATAATAATAATAATAATAATATGACAGCATCAGATTGCCTGGCAACCACTTAGCAACAGACTAAAATGACCTTTCTTTGGCTTTATGCACCTGTAACATATTATAAAAGGGCCACATCAGTTTAGTTACAAGAATAACATCTCATTTATAGCCACAAAAATTTAATTAACCATGCGTTGTAACCACCTAGCAATGCGCCAAAATAAGTCTTTTTTCGTTCCTTTTTTTACCTATGAGACCTTATAAAAGCATAATGTTTTTATGTCATGATAGTAACAACTAATTTAATTTTCCACAAAATTTGAATTATACATGCCTAGCAACCACTTAGCAACAGGTTAAAATGACCCATTTTTAGCATGTAAGCAAAATCTACCAACCCTGTTTTTTTTTTATCATTGATATTTATTTATTTATTCATTTGTTTATTTCACTTTTGCCAACAGCGCAAACAGACCAAACAGTATTGTAGCATGGATGTGTACTGGTTTATATAATTTAACATATCAGTTAAATCCCAATTACTTTTGGTTAAAGTTATTGTGCTCAAAATAACATGACGCTGAATGTGGCCCAGTTAAAAAATAAAAAGTTGGTTTATGTATGTAGACTCCAATACAATATATTGCATGTACCCAATTGAAGAAGGCTGAAATGTTTTGGAAAGCCAACCCCTTTTTCCTCCTCAGCTGGCTGGTCACAGTTCAGAAGACTGTAGTAATTAATTCTGCAGGCCACTTCCCCTGAGGGTTCTCACAGTAGATGTCATCCGATCCACAGCAAACTCCTTTGGTTATGTGTAAAGACCAAATGAAGTCGACTTCAGAGTCTCTGTTGTCTCCAAAAAGCTGTGGTCTGCTTAGAAATAAAATTCACAAAACTTGCCTTTTCCACCATCTAGTTCAGAACCCTGAAACAGGGATGCTGTGTTTCAAGATTGCTGAAATAGACTGCTGACATCTAGGAGGCCATCCATCAGTAGGTTTCTGCAGAAGCACAGAAACAGATGCTTTCTTTTTATCACAAAGAGAATGGCTGTGTGTAACCTCTGCACAGCTCTGTGCATATACTGAGGAGCTGGAGCCAAACGGAGCTTTATCAGCAAAATGTAATGAACTCTGTGTAAGCTGGGAGTATTTGAATCACTGCTGTCCAGCATTTCAGCATCATTATTCTCTGTTTGCAGCTAATGCAAATGATTATTTGGACAAACGTCTTAGTAATATATGTTTAGGATTTATGTAAATTCTCCAGGTAATTTTTACTCTTTGACATTTCACTATGGTTTTCATTTTCTGTCATGAAATATGGATCCCCTCAAGAGTTTTCACTAATTACATTATGATGTCTTTTTTAGCCTAATATTTCTGCTGGTGATTTATACCAAGGCCATTCATAATGAAATTATTCATCGTAATCACTCCATTGCAGAGCTTAGAATTATATCAAATATAATGTCATATTGATTATAAACACTGTTTTAATTAAATTGGTTATGTTTAATTAGTCTCTCAGCAGAACATGGCTGTATAAAGGTTTGTTTTTCTCATTTTCATGATTTTAAGTAGAATTTGTTTTGGCACCGTCATTAATCTATGTGCACATCGCTCAGCATCACTGACTGTTCTCATTACCACAAACACATTACTGAAGCAAAAATCATGCTTAAAGATTACCATATTTAAATGACTGCTAACTGTGGACATTTATTACATATTCTCAAGTATACTGAAAAATAACCAGACTTTGGCTAACGTCATGAGTCCTGCCTACTGTAAGTTCTAATATAAGATGTGTTAAGTAAATTAAAAAAAAAAGAAATGATATCTCCTTAGGCACCAAACGTGTGTGAAAGTAAGCTAATGTTGTCAGATTCCAGGGGGAGTATGACAGTTAATACTCACTGGTGCCTCATAAGGTGTGCTAATGAACAATAATTAAATCTGATGAGAATAAAGAAAGCAAGTATTTTGTGAGCATGCACTAAATGAAAGACAGTTTTTTTTGTGAATACATTAATGTAAGATAAAAAAAAAAAAACCTCTGCTCTTCAAGTTCAAATGATACACACCAAAACCCTGCCTTTTTAAGCCACCATACATTAGTCTTTAAACGATGAAATAATATCATAAAATAACATTTTATTTTCTAAAAACCTTGCAAATGACGCGTGTTTTCCATATTTTACTTTCTGTCAGTGTGCATCTCGGGTACCTCTTGATGTAACTAATCAGATGTGACTTGGTGTGGCATTATGGAGAGTCGGGTCATTTGGTTTCTCTGCTGCTGTAATCTGTAATTTTACCTGCATTGCTGGAAGCTAATGACCACTTCAAATCCATTACGCTTTTGTCTGGGCCATTGTGATAAGTGACTCTAATGTGCATGGCTTGGGGGGAGAGGTGTAACCTAGCTTTTATGATAGCTCGAGAGCATACAGATTTAGTAGTCTACATGTTCATAATAGTCCACAATACTGTTTAAAATAAAACACAAATAGTAAAATTTCTTGGAATCAGTAGCTGGTGTGACGATATTAGGATCCCAAACGTGTAGTTTTGCTGCTGGGTTTGTCCGCACCTCGCTTCCTACCATCTAAAATCTAAGATCTAAAAGTACTTTTAATCAGTATTTTTATATGAACAATAAATTAACTGATAAATGTGTAAAATGAAAGGTGTGTGTGTGTGTGTGTGGGGGGGGGGATTCTTCCAGCCACACAATCTTGTTTTTTTTGTCTCTTTTTATTTCACATTTTGATTCAGTCTGTGTCCTCTCATCAACCCTACTCCAGATGCAGGATGCAGCTGCTACTTTCACTGACAAATCACAAAAGTACCACATAAGACAGTATACAGCCCACCAGAAGAGTTATGCATTTTGTCTGGCACATGGCTCCAAAGAAATCCAAGTGCAAGACTCGTTGCTCACATTTTGCCATGTTATAACTTGGTGATAATATGGTAATATTGTTCATACAGCTCTTTCTGCTGCCTCCAAGGAGCAAAATATATCAGCTGATACACTTAAGAGTTCACGCTTCTTTAAAGCTTTGGGTTGTACCCATAAAGCCCACTTAGGAATATAAAAAGCTTTCAGTTTTATTGAATTGGAGTCTGTACTGAATCCTCTTTTGACTCTCTTTGCAGTTAAATGTACAGGTTATTTAAATTTTCATTTTGGCCCTTCTATGCCAATTGTATTGTTATTTGTAGCAGATGGTCAGAAATATCATCTAATCCCACTTTCTGGCATGTCACAGAGTTCATGAGACAAACAACAAGTGAAGTCTAAAAAGGAGAGTGCAGACTCCTGCAAATGCTGCAGTTGAACTGCATTGTGCTGTCATAATCATGATGATGGAAAGTTTATTGCATTTCACAGTGGTATGCTTTTCACCATATAGAGAAATATTCATATATGCAAAGTGTTTTATCTGAACTGTAGATTCTTTCTGTCAATGAACAGTACAGGAAGGTGTTTTGGGTTTACATGAGTGATATGGACAATAAAGCGAATACAGAGTTTATTATTTTCCAGAAATATATAGGGGAACTTCCCTTTGTCATCAAAAAACGAGTTTACTGCAAATAAAAGTCAACAGAGCTGTGATCTCAGTTCAAAATGAAAACGGCATCAAACGCTATAATTGATTTCTTTGTTTGTTTTATTTTAGTGTTTTCTGGCTGTTGTCATATTTACATTGCAATCAAGCAGGCTTCCTTTTTAAGCAGCGTTCTAGATTGCAATCAGACACATTTAATGTCATTTTGCTGTGTTTCTGTTTAATTGTAAATGCAGTGAAGGTTCCCAGTGCATCTTGTCAAACCATGTCTATGTATGACATGTACAGAATAAACTGACACCACCGTACAGAATAAACTGACACCACCGTACAGAATAAACTGAGACCACCGTCACACATGAAATAAAATTGGACAGTAATAAAGGCTTTTTCTGTTTTCTTCTAATCCAGAATTTTTCCTGGAGCTGCTGGAGAACACGGAGAGGTCCCTGAATGACATGTTTATGAGGACTTACGGCAAGCCTTACATGCAGAATGCAGAGGTCTTTGAGAACCTGTTTGCTGAACTGAAGCGCTATTACACTGGAGGGAATGTTAACCTAGAGGAAATGCTTAATGACTTTTGGTCACGGCTGCTGGAGCGTATGTTCACACTGCTCAACTCCCAGTATGTCATCACTGAGGACTATCTGGAGTGTATCAGTAAGTACACCGACCAGCTGAAGCCCTTTGGAGACGTGCCCAGGAAGCTCAAGGCTCAGGTTACCCGCGCATTCATCGCTGCACGCACATTTGTCCAGGGGCTCTCCGTTGGCCGGGAGGTAGCCCAGAGAGTGTCTAAGGTAAATGTTCTTAACCCTTTAAATTCTTTAAAAAGCACACATTTGCCCTAGTTTTCACATGATCAAGTTTATCCCAGATATACTTTCAGAGTAATTCGGATTCTCTCAGGGTATGTCTTCAGAAAATTTAGTCCTCAAGGTGGCTCGTTCATGGAGCTGTCTAGAAAACATTGTTGAAGGGTATGTGGATTGCTCAGGAGAAATTCCCAGACAACAAAAAAGGCGAGAAAAGAAATGTCTGCTATCGCTGTTTATTGCTCTCTTGCCTTATATTTGTTCATCCAGTATATAGAAGTCATTAATCACACTGTTGCCTGTGTATTCAGTTTGATGCAAAGCAATCTGTATGCAGTTCCTGCAATACCATACTGCCCTGGGAGTGTATGTAGGGCTGATCATGTACAAAGTGAGATTAAAGGGAAAGCAAAAGGCTAAGCCTTGGATTTAGTCACGCTTAACAACAATGTTGTTTCTACACTGTCATTTGGGTTCAGAGAAGCACTGATTCACAACATTGCGAATCCACAGCCATCCTCTTTGGCTTCTTTGCTTTTTGTTTTTTCAATACAGTCTATCAGCTAGATTTGATTATCATGTCTATTATGAATATTTATAGAGCCACTTCCCAGTAGGCTATATAACTAAAAGCTAATGAAAATATAGGAGCCTTGAATAATGAGAAACAGAGGGCAAATGGAGAAGACACTGCTGTACTCTTATAAATCCACCATTCATTTGGTCTGTTAAATCCCACCATACTTGAGCATTAACCACGTTCCCTTCCTTTCCCCTGAGGTCCCACCCTCCCTAACAGTAGTGGCAGTGAGGAGCATTTAGCCACAGAAGATGTGTTGTTAGTATGCATTTAGAGTTGTACCCTGCAGTCCTTAGAGCCCAGCGTGTCCTAGCTTCACCTCTTGACATTTCAGTGGGACCTGAGATCCAGGTCATCTGTCTGGGACTGCAGCCCTTTGATCCTCAGGGTATAAAGTCATCACGAGAGATTGGGTGTAAGCATAATAAAAACAGACACCATGCCAGAGGTGTCTGTTTCTCAGCGCTGCTAAGATGTGACATCCATGCTTATTGCTCCTGGGATATACAATATATTGAATTAAAGTAGGTGATGTAGCATTTTATTGCTTTTCACAGCTTTGAGGAAGCGCAAACCTGTGTCTAGATCTCATCAGCACAGCTCAGACTTGTGCTATTTGTAGTGAATACAATTTAATAATCATTTTCCTAGTTGACAGTTTTTAGAATATCTGAAATGTCATGCAGGTAACTAAAAAGAATACTTCCATTATCTGAAAACAGTCTCTGTAGTAATAAACTCTACAGAAACAATTTGCTCTTTTGTTCTGGAAAAAAACAAAAAATTAAAAATAAAATGATCTCTGTTTTTTTATTTTAATTCACAATATTTTAGTTATTGTTAAAGGAAGTCACGTTGGAACTCTTATACACAGCAAAGTGTAAGGATGGGTGCATTAGGAATATGTATTATTTGATTAACAACAATATTTTGATTGTCATTCAAAGCAATATTGATGTGTTTTCTGCATGAATTGTTTAATGGTTATAGAGAAAGAGAAAATGCACCTTTCTCTTAATTGCTCCAAATCTAAATTTGTGGAACGATGAGGCACCACTGTATTTTTCTGAAATTGTGAAAAATTTAACTTTTAAAATGTTTTTTTTCAATGAAATTGATAAGTGAGCACCCACAAATACTGCTAATTCAAACATTACTAACAGTGATTATTTCTCCTCACGGCCTTGTGATCTACAAGAAACCTTTGTTGACTGCCCTGAGCTGCTGCCTTACACCTGTGTCAGGTGATACAGATGCTGGCAGAAGCATTTTTAGAATATTCAGTGTCAAGTTTTGTATTTGACGCCAGTTGTCTGCGAGTTGATGTGTGGGGGTTGTCTGCTAGTGAGGGCAAGTATGTCTATGTATAACGTGTTTTTCTTACGTGCCTTCCTCTCTTGGTGATTCTTAGCACTGCACTGTGAAAGAAGGGGGTATGAAAGAAGCAGGGCTTTGAAGCACATTTGAAGCACACATATCACAGAGATTAGAGCTTCTCTAATTTGTAGACTTTGAAAAGGTCAGCCATGTTTTTTGTCTAGTCCAGGCTTGACTTGTACTTACTTGGCTTGAGTGAATGTTCAAAGGCAAAATGGCAAAATTGCAAGAGAGCTGACCACAAATACCAATTTTTGATTCACTGCACTTAGCTGTCTTCACACAAAAAAAGTAAATAATAAAAAATATATATGAAAAAGAAAATGAATGGGTAAACCTTAATTTTTAAGATATTTTTTGCCAGGGTCCTGCTTACACCTCTGATCTGCCAGTTCCTCAGAAGCCTTACTTTTTGCTTGAAATCATTTGCCGTGGACTTTGTAGTACAGTAGTTCTAAAATCTCAGTTTGTCGCTGGCATGTTGCTTATGTTTTATGTAACAAATCTTCTTGTTACATAAAACATAAGGTACTATTGTGGTATGAACACCTTCACTTCCCAATCCTTTCATGTTCTTAGCACAAGCTTTTGTCCAAATCAATTTACAAGAAGTGCACTCATTTTACACAAAACAACAGCGGATTTTGGTGAAGACGTCTTTGTGCATCGCTTCTTTAAAACAAAAAGAGCTGTGATGCTGCATTATAGCTGCTTTTCTTGTATTTTTAATGCAGTGAGACAATAATAAGTGTTAGAGTGTAGTGTAAAAAGGCACTTTTTCCAGACTAAAAGGTGTTTAAGATTTAAGAGTCTTGTTAGTTCATGAAAATATCTCATTTAACTTTAAACATCTTAACAGGTCTTCAGAGTACATAAAATAGAATATAGCAGCTGATGATCCAGCTGATGGTCAGCTGTCTTCTGTAGTTTTTTTATTGTGAGTATTACTTCACGATCCTGTGAATGAGAGCATTTTTCATTGTAGCTAACTTCCCGCTGTTTGTCAAAGTAGCCTAAAGGTTAATTATGAACCAGGGGTTCTTGTACCCTAGAGGGTACTTCTGCAGCTTCCAGTGGGCATCTGGAAGGATTAGTAATTTCCAATCAAATCAAATTAACATTTGGAACATGAGAGGTTGTGGTAATGAAGGGTTGAATTCACTTCATCTGGCAGGGATGTGTGGTTTTGTCTGGGGGAAAAAAAACACATGATGCCATTCCATGGTATCGTGAGTTATCCTGCTGGCGGCAGCTATCAGAAGATACACTGGTGCACTGTGGTACACTGTGGTCATGAAGGGTTAAACATGATCAAGAACAGAACTCAGAGAGTCTATGATATTTAAACCATTCTCAGCTTGTACTAAGGAACCCTCCACACCATTACACTGCCAACAACAACCAAAAAGTTGCTGCCACGTGATTGGCTGATTAGATATTTGCATTAAGAAGCGACTGAATAGACGTACCTAACAAAGTGGTCAGTAGTTGTATGTCATAATTTGTCCTATTAACTTATTAAAATAACCCTGTTTTTGAGTTGCATTGGTTATCTGTTAAACAAACTGTAGTGAAAAGCTGAAACAAACAAAGGTGCATCTTATCTCTTGCTTCACTCTTTATCATCTTCAATATCTATACATGCAGTCACTGTAACATAATGCATTTCAGAGGTGTTTAATTGTCTGTTTCCTGCAGCTGTTAGCCTATTACTATCGATGCTTGTATGTGTTTTCATACATGGAGACAGTTTATCAGGTTATCTATGAAAGCTACTTTGCCACTTTTGTCTTCTTTATTAGTTTGGATTTTTACTTTTTCATTAGTGACATAACCTTACATTTTAAAATAGAAATTATATTCCATAGAGTGGGGAAATAGATATTTGACTTTGTTTAAAGACTTGTGGTTTAATTGCAAGCCAAATTATCCTATGTGAAGTGTTCATCGGCAGTGACTGATTGCATAAGAACATTCTTTAAAAGTCTTCAGTCAGCAAAAACGGTCTCTCTCTAGGGCCTTTGCTGATTAATAACTGAAACTTTTTTTGACAATAGGACAATAGCATCATGGTAAAACTTTGCAAAAGTTTTCTACTGGGCAGTTTTCTTGTTATAAATTACTCAAAATCCTTTAACTGGTACAGTTACTTCAATAAAATAGATTTATAATTACCATATATTTCGTAGGTGCTATTAGATACTAATGACCGCTGTCACATTCTGTGTCCTTGCAGGTTAGCAGCACTCCAGCATGTATTCGAGCAGTGACAAAGATGCTGTATTGCCCCTTTTGTCAGAGTATGCCAGGAGTAAAGCCTTGTAAGAATTACTGCCTGAATGTCATGAAGGGCTGCCTGGCCAATCAAGCTGATTTGGACCCAGAGTGGAACCAGTACATCGGTGAGTCTTTTCAACCACTTCCCCAGCCATTTTTATTTTAACCTCGACTCTGCTTTTCTATTATTTCTAAAGTAACATACCAATTAAATGTGTTGCTATAAATTCATGTCTGGGCGTATGGTTTTATAATATGACTGAATTGAACTAATGGATGTGGGAGAAAAGCAGAGAAAGCATGTTACATCACATGAGCACTCACAGTAAAGCAGATCGAAATTTTCACTTACACCATCACTTTTAGCTTTTCCTTTTTGCTGCTATACACAGGGTTATATTTTAATTGCATACCAAAAAGTGACACGAATTGCTTTAAAGCTGGACAGATAATAGTATGAGTTGAATAATCTTTTAAGCTCCCTGGTGTAGACCAGAGAACTGTAACTGTGCTTTGAAAGCAGTTAAAAAAGTAAGCTGAAAGCCGCACACTGGGGTGTTGTTTTGGGTGACGTAGGCAAAAGCTGTAAACCTTTTAAATTACAGAGAGTAACTGGATTAAATGTTAATATTACAAATATTGCTTTGTTTTGCTCAAACCTTAATCTTAAAGCAAAGATGCTTTAGGCACGGTGAGACCTATGTGTTCAGGAAGCAAGAGGAAAAGGCCGGAATAATTGGAATTATGTGAAGTGGCCTGGTAGTGGATGCTTATATTAAACATGGCCAAAGTTTCACATAATGAGGTCAGCATATGTGCAAGTAATATATAATGTATAGTATAGGCCAATATGTAGTGTAAAACAAAAGCTTAGACTGTTTGCACATAGGTTTTTTGGCTCTTTTGGCTACTGGATCTCACTAATGGCAGGGTTACTCTGCAGAGTACCACCTGCTGTTCAAACCTTCTGATTCCAGTGAGCAGCCAATTAGAAGAAAGTTAGCTTTAAGGAAGTGTGGGCATAGGGAGGGGTGCTCAAAACATTTTTTTTTCCACAAGAGTCTACGGATTACTATGGCAATAAGCATAATAGACCCATTGTAAGGAGCACTTCCAATACTGAATATTTAAATATAACAAAATTCATAGCACTAAAATGTTTGAATCCACAGTACTCCACAAGTCTTGAATCAGTCATCATTTCTTTTCATTACTAGGAAAATGGAAAATAGGTGCAGCTGCATATTGAAACATGCAAACATCCAGAAAAATACAGTATATGAAGCATAAGTTTAAGTTTGTACAGTTTTAATGAGCTTGAAAGTCAACGCTTTGTATCACCACCTTCATTCTTCAACACAGTCTGAACTCTCTGAGGCAACCTGTATTGTAATTTCTTTAAGTAGTCTACAGAAATAGTTCTTGAGGCTTCTTGGAGGACATTCAAAGCTCTTCTTTGGATGTTGGCTGCCTTTTCTTTCCATTATCTGTCAAGATGATCCCAAACTCCTTCAGCAATGTTCAGGTCAGGGCTCTGGGGAGGTCAGTCTATGGCTGAATGTCATAGACTGACCTTGTGTGTTTTTTCTATCCAGGTGTGATTTTAGTCAATTGGCAATGCGTTTATCATTGTCATGCTAAAGAATAAAGCTAAACAGACACTTTCCAGATGGTATTACATCCCAGGTTAATCTGAAAGTGCATTTCTTGCATTAATAATTCCATCAGTTTAGATGGAATTAAACACAGCTGGATACAATGCAGCTCCAAAGCATCATAGAGCCTCCACCATGTTTTACAGATAGCTGTGGACATGCTGGACTGAAAATTCCAGCATCTTTAGATAAAGTCTGAAAGATGTTTAGAGGGCCTGTAGAACTACTTGAAAATGACAACAAAGTCTGGCTCAATACAGAGAAATGAGGTGTGGCTCAAAACTTTTTGCACAGTACTGTGTGTGAATTAGAGTTCCACACAGTTAAAGTCATTGAAATTAAATTAGACATTACATGTTTCTGTCTTGGTGTTTTTTCTGTGCTTTCACAGCATTGAACTCTTGATGTAGGTAGCACCATAATTTCATTGAAATATTATTAATTAAGAAATAAAATATTGAAAGGCAGCTTAGGTCAAAATGCTGACTGCATCAGTATGCGGGGATATACAAATCCTTGTGTTGCATTGCAGAATTGGACTTTCTATTTTTAGAGAGGCTGCAGCTGGTGCCGTGTCATTATCATATTTTGACAACATCACTTTCATTGACACTCGCTGGGCCTTTGGATAAGAAAGTGCTCTATTTGTCATTCTTCTATCATGATTCCTGTGTGAAAAGATTTTATTCATGGGATTCTGCTCTCCTGCTGGGCTAAATGGTGACTTGTAATGGGGCAGACATGCTCCGCAGGAAGTGCCAAGTTTTGTGAAGTTATGTTCCATAGAAAATTGTTCAACTCAGAGTCAACGAATACAAATAGAAATATAATATTTATATATTTATTTTGGTATTTGATAGAATGCCCAGCATGATGGTTCCTGCTGTCAGCTAGATAGGCTCAGCCCATTGGCCTGAACAAAAGCTACAGTATGATGGCGAAAATGTGACTGTTGTGAGCAGGAGATGGATTAAGAAGTTTGTATTGCCTTTTTTTTAGAACAAGCTATTAAGTCTTCTGTTTTCATCTTGGTGCATACTATACATGACTCCTATCTATTTCTGGAGATTAATATTTAAAAATAATCATATTCTTTCTGTTTTTACTGAAAAATATCTCTGTATTTTAGGTTTGGGTAATTGTCTTGCTTTAAAAAAATGAAAATAATCAAATCCTCTTATGATAGGGCTGGTTGATGAATTGATATATGAACAATATATTTAGTAAAAAACATAAGCATATTTTTTTTTGTCTGCACTAATAAATAAATCCATTACAGATTTTGAGCCCTAACACTTAGGTCATTCTTGTAAAAGTTTTTCTTTTTTTCCAGTTCACTTCAGTTCTTGTGAGCAGCTCCTCATATCTTGACACTTAGAAGTATTGTACTGACATTGTAGTGCACAACCATCTGGTCTAAGTTGTGACCTTGATTTATCTACACAAGGTTTGCCAGTCTTTGTGAGATCTACTGGGACTGTATGGAGCAGCAAATCAAAGCAATGAGCAGCTCAAACAGACTGAAAGCTGCACGAGTAAAAGCTTCAGTGCTGATTCACAGTAAGTCCTTCAGTGCTACGTTAAAGAAAGTCGTTTTATTCAATTAGATATTGAAGATGATAGTTTAATTTAGCAGTAATTTAAATGTTGCTGAAAAATTGCTTAATCTACAAAAGGATTCCACAATGATTATTAGGATTATTTTGTAAATCTTTGTTAATCACCACAGTAGATTCAAAATCAAGCATTTAAGAGATGATTGAAGTGCAGACTTTAATCTTTAAATCAATGGATTTTTACAAAAGTATCGCATGAACTGTTTAAGAATAGCTGTAATTCAAGGAAGCACTCTTATAACACTCCGATTGAGAGGTCCCTGATATGATGCTTTTGCATCATATCAGGGACCTCTCAGTGCACATGAAAAAAATGTTCTGTGGCATCAGTCATTCATGTGCAAAAAAGAAATAAATTTGGATTTATTGACGTTTTTTGCACCTTGCAGTGTCCAGCAATATGGGTTTTGCAAATACCAAACAATCCAAACACTTTCAAATCCACATCAAATCACATTCACACTTGCACCTATGGGTATGTAATGGGATTTTTTTAACATCATTATTTTTGCCAACCTTTTTAGATCAACTTTGACTTAATTATTAGTTTATTTTTAAATCTTTTAAAGCTTACGCTATCTGTCAGCAGAAGATTCTAGACTGAGCATCGTCCACACTTCTGATTTGTTGCAAAAACAAGCCTGTGACCTTTCACAGGGGGTGGTGGAGATGCTGGAACTTGTTATCGCCTTTGGTAAAAAGGCAAATGCCTCAGAGAAAATGCCTCAGCCTTCCTACTTTAACAGACCGGGCTTTACCCCCAGAGTGTTTTCCCTTTACTGAACTGAATTCATAACAGTTGAACCAAAAACTACATTAGTTATAAACATTCAAGACATGTGCCTGGATTTCATACTAGGTCATATCTTGATTGTATCTTAATTATCACAAGTAAAACACTGAATTCTTAATCTTTTATCATGACTATTGTGTGTGTTTTGTCACTCTTGACTTGTGTACATACAATATTCACTAAAACATTTATTTTTATTACTAAAATCAGCTATATCATAAGATCTAAGTGAAATAAAAATATAAATGTATAAATAAATTACAAATATAGTGTACATAATAGTTGTGCTATGAACACAGACTCACCAGCCAAGATATTGGGTATAGCTGTTCAGTCAATTGCAAATATCTGATCAGCCAATTACATGGCTGAGCACGTGTTACAACCAAAGTATCCAAAATGCTATCTCTGATTCAATAACAGGCTGAAATTTGAAGCTGATGGGCTACAGCAGCAGAAGACCACACCAGTTTTCACTGCTGTCGTCTGCTAATAAGAAATTGAGACTACGATTTGTATTGGTTCGCCAAAGTTGGACAATAGGAGATTGGAAAAATATTGAAATCAATGATTTCAGTCGAAGAATTTGGATAATGTCACAAACACAAAATCATCTTAAACTGGTTTCTTGAACACTGCAATAAAATCACTGACGTCCATAGATGCCAGATCTCAGTCTAATAGAGCTGAATGGGAGATGTGCATCATGGACATGTAGCTGATAAATCTGCAGCAACTGAGTGATGCTATCATGTCAATATGGATGAAATTCTCCAAAGAAGGTTTTCAGAACCTTGTTGAAACAATTAAGGCAGTTTTGAACGCAAAAGGGGGTCCGACACAGTACAAGCAAGGTTCACCTGAATAACTGTCCGATTAATGTATATGAATAAATTACATGGGGTACTGTTTGTATGTAAGTTACTACCATATTTTTTGGACTATAAGGCACACTTAAAATCCTTTAATTTTCTCAAAAATCGACAGTGTGCCTTATAATCCGATGCACCTTATTGTCCGAAAAACACGGTAATTTTATTTATGTTATTGAAAGCACTGCT